GAATCCTAGCACCCACATGGCAGCTAACAACTGTCCGTAACTCTAATTCCAGGGGATCTGACAACCTTTTCTGTCCTCCGCGGGCACTGCACGACATGGGTGCACTTACCTACATGCAGGCAATACACACATACACATAAGATTAAAAAAAAATACAATGCAGAGTGATGTGTGATGGTCACTAGCATCCAAAGGGTGTTTTTATTTTAAAGTCCGAATTTTTATTTTTTATTGTTGTGTGTATATATGATTCGTGTGTGTGTGAGCAAAGGTGTATGAATGCAACCATGTGCTTATATACGTCAGAGAATAACTTTTGGAAGTTATCTCTTTCCTTCTACTTTGTTCGGGCATGGTGGGCTGTGTACTACAGGCTAGCTGGCCTGAGAGTTTCTGAGTGAGTTTCCTCTCTTCTCCACCTCCTGTCTTTCAGGAGTTTCAGGAGGAAGGCTGGGAGAGATGCACACCACCAAATCTGGCTTTTTTTTTTTTTTTTGAGACATGGTCTCTCTGAAGCCCCAGCCGCATTGGAACTGGCTATGTAGACCAGGTTGGCCTCGATCTTACAGAGTCCACTTGCTTCTGCCTACCAAATGCTGGGACTAAATGTGTGTACCACGCCCGACTAAATCTGGCTTTTTTTTTACATGGGTTCCAGGGATTGAACTCAAGACAGTCAGTCTTGTGCAGCAAGTACTTTTATCTGCTGAGCCATCTTATCAGCCTTAAAAATACTCTTTTTCCTCCCTCCTTCCCTCCCTCCCTCCCTCCCTTTCATTTCTTCATTTATTTATTGTATGTGTGTGGGCATTCACATGCCACAGCACTCATGTAGAGGCCAGAGGACAACTTGTAGAGTCGGTTCCCTCCTTCTACTATGTGAGTTCCAGAAATCAAATTCAGATCATCAGGCTTGGTGGCAAACACCTTTTCCCACTGAGCCATGGCACAGGCCCAATCTTTATTTTTCTTTGCATAGTGCTTACTGATAGGGTTTTAAAAGCAATCAAGATCCTGGGCTGAACTGTGTTCCTCAAAAAATCAGTATTTTGAAGTCCTAACCTCCAGGATTTCAAAATGTGATCTTATTTTGATGTAGGGCCTTAAATTTTTTAAAATTATTTTTATTTTATGTGTATATGAGTATATTGCCTGCATGTAAGTAAGTGCACCCATGTCATGCAATGCCCACAGAGGTCAGAAGAGTGTATTGGATCCTCTGGAACTGGAGTTATGGATGGCTGTCAGCCACCATGTGAGTGTTGGGAATCAAACCCAAATCCTCTTCAAGAGCAGCCAGTGCTCTTAACCCCTGAGTCATCTCTCCAGTCCCTTGATACAGGGTCTTTATAGAGGTAAACAAATTGAAATAGGTCATTAGGGTTGGTCCTAGTCTGGTATGACTGGTAACCTTATAGAAAGGAGAAGTTTGGAAGCTGACTGCAATATAGACAGAACACATATAAACATCTATGAGCCAAGGAGAGAGGCCTGGAATGGATTCTTCCTTCATGGCCTTCAGAAGGAACCAACCATGGCAACATCTTGATTTTGGACTGCTAGCTTTGAGCACCATGAGTCAAATTTCTGTTGTTTAAACCACCCAGTTTGTGGTGCTTTGTTATAGCAACCCCAGCAGAAGTAATACACCCACAAATTGCCTCTGAGTCACTATTGGGTTGCAACCTGAAGCTCTCCCTTTTTTTTTCCATAATGAAGTTCATTTTTTCCCCTAATGCTTTGTCTCATGTAATCTTTTCAGCAACAGACAGGGCCTGGAGGAAGATGAGGTGATGAGGATGAGGTGTCATGCAGGTGGGGTGCCATTAATGAAAGTCTGGCTGACCCTACAATTGCACAATCTGAAGAAGAGTGCTTCCTTAAATCTTACGCTGCAGTCACCTCACTGTATTCCAGGCCTCACTGAAGTAGATATAACTACAGTTCCATTTGCATCATTGAGAGTCACAGAGCTCCAAAGTGGTGTCAGATGCTAGCCAGATATATTTCCAAATACTGGGTTCTTTTTATGACATCACATAAAAAGATGTCACAGTGTCCCCAGTCTTGTAATCAGTTATAGAGGAAAAATAAGTTTATTTTCCTACTAGTACTTGCTCCTTACCTTCCTACTTACTCCTAAAAGGAACCAAAGCCAAAGACTACATCCACTTTCCTCTCCTCCTGCCTGTCTTTGGTGACACGGATCTCTTGAGATGCTCAAATGGTAGAGCCTGGCTTTCACTACTGTCTGTGGATGTTCAGATGCACAATGGCACTTGGGAGCATGTATAAAGGGCGTGTACCATGAGCTCACCTGCACCCATGCCTAGACCAGGCTTGGACAGACTCCCTGCCTGCCATCTCCACCCCCACCCCCACTCTTCCTTTTCTACTCACTGCCTTGCCGATCCAGTAAATGTATAAACATACACACCTCTTCTAGGCTCTGTCTTTGTGGCAGTAGTATCACCCTCAAATCCAGGGATTTATGAGTAGGATGGAATCCTTCTACCTTCCTCACACAAGATCTATTCTGGGCTACAAACTGGGGACAAACTGGGGAAGTAGCTCAGTTGATAGAGTGCTTGCTTAGCATGCACAAAGCCTTTGGTTTGATTATCAACATCACATAAACCCAGTGTGGTGGCACATGTCTGTAATCCCACCAGGTGGAAGCAGGGAGATCAGAAGTCCAACTTACTTAATGAGGTCAAGGATAGCCTGGGCTACCTGAGACCCTGTATCAAAACAAAACAAAAAGCCAGCCAAATAACCAAGCAGCATCAAAAACAAAAAAACCTAGTGCCTGATGTTTACTGTGTGCAGCAGTTTTAAGCCTTCAGATGTATTGTCACAGCCCTATGAGCTAAGAGACTCTCGTCTCCATTTTACAGACAATTACCCAGAGTCGTGCAATTAGCAGTGCGGTTGCACTTGAATCCAAATAGCCCTTGTACAGAGTCCAGGATCGTAACGGGTGTACTTTGCATCTTGTTCATATCCTCTGCTGATTGGTACTACCTTTGCATCATGTATGGTTCACATGGATATGCAAGTGAGGAATCAATTCAGGCACCAGGGGGCAGCATAGGCCTGGCTTTGGCCCTTCAGCCCATCCCTAGAAGTGGGAGAGGGAAAAGAGTCGAAAATTCCTCCAACCTGCCACAGTGACCCCCTGACACCACCTTTCCATGTACATGTCCACTATCCTGTCTGGGGAGCTTAAATATCTTACTAGGTCTCTTGTTCTATTTCGTCTCTAATCATAGCAAAACCACAGAACAAATCCTCCAGTTATGATGGTGACTCAGAAACTGAGCAAGTCCTCTGTGTGTGTGTGTGTGTGTGTGTGTGTGTGTGTGTGTGTGTGTATGAGCACAATGTGGTATCTGTGCCTGTCTCTCCATTGTGCGACATTGTGGCTGTAAGTAGCTTTCGGTGCTGACATGTGTGAGTCTCTCTCTCTCTCTCTCTCTCTCTCTCTCTCGTCTTGTGGCTAGGGAAGTTGTACATATTTGTTTTGGGGCGTGCCTCAGAGTTTACCCCAGAAACACATAGGAACTTTGCCAAGGTTGCACAGCAGATTCGTATTCAAACTTGTCCTTTGGGAATCTTCAGGTGGCCCTCAGCTGGTGCTGGTTATTAACTAGGGTCTGGGGAGTGGGTGCCCTCTAAGGAGCCCTCTTCCTCTGAATGACTCCAGGAGTCTTCAAGAATTTTGAGTTGAATGTTCCCCTCCTCCACCTCCTGCCGACAGTGTCACGGGACCTCTAAGGCGTTCCCGCCAGCGTGGAGGGGGGTGAACCTAGCACTTACTGAGAACCTCTGGCTCCAGGCTGCTTTTCAGGGTCCTCCACTGGGGGGAGCGCATAGCCCAGTGGGATTTGCTTCAGGGCCCGCAAAGCGCAGTCCCTCGGGTCCCCAGCCCTGGCCCTCAGAAAGTTTGTGTGGTAGGTAGCCAGCTAGTTTGGGGGTGGCACGGCTCTCCCTGCCATTAGGTAACTTTACAGAGAAAAACAGATCACTTTTGAGGGGGCTAGAGTACGCGGGGGTCAGCATCCCTCCAGCGTAGCTCTAGGAAGCCCCAACCTTGCCCTCCCCACTACGTGCTTCCCCATCAAGCACAGGAGGCATACATGTTCACCCCACTTTCTTCCTCTTCCTCCTCCAGCCCACTTTCTCTTCTCTGTGTCGTCAGAGCTCCAGGGAGGGACCTGGGTAGACAGAGAAGCCGGAAACAGCAGGCTAGGGCAGCCAGGGTTTACGAAGAAGAGGAAGGCCTGGAAAGAGAAAGAGAGAGGGAGAGAGGGAGAGAGGGAGAGAGGGAGGGAGGGAGGGAGGGAGGGAGAGAGGAAGGAAGGAAGGAAGGAAGGAAGGAAGGAAGGAAGGCAGGCTATGATCAAGGAATTCCTAGAGGTAACAAATAATTCTATTTTCTATCCATCTAATGTGTTCAAACAAGAGAGAGAGGTGTATGTACACGGGTTTCTAGGGCCAGCCCCGAACTCGCTGAACAGAGCTACAGACCCATGGGGCCTGGCAGTGCCCGCTGAGAGGGAGACGACGGCAGAGGGGTTGCCGAGGTGAGGGGATGCTTGCGAGTAGGGGAAGGTGGGGGGGCTTCTGACCAAATGAGGGGATGGCTGATGGGGCCTTTCGGGATCCTCCCCTGGGCGGGGCGGCTGGTCCCCTGGAAATTGTTTCCGCAGCTGTCGGTGGCTGGTGGCACTGGGTCTTGGAGGTTTCCAACTTTCGAAGGACTCTGGGGTGGGTAAAGGCCTCCGCACTCCCCTCCCCAACGCGTCACTTTCCCGAGCCCTCAGCCCGGCTCCTCCCGGGGCACGGGAAGTCTCAGGGCGCGGGTGAAGGAGGGCCCTCTGCACTCTGGGTGCGGGGGACGCAGCTGCCCCTCCCTAGAAGGGTGATGCTCCAGGGCCGTGGGCTTGTCCAACCCGGCTTCTGCCGCCCGCCTTAGGTTCCTGTTCAGGGTGTGGCTGGAGGGCGAGCGAGCCTCAGATGTAGACCTCATGGTGCCCCAGAGGAGGGGGGATTTCCCCCTCAAAGTGCTCCTCGCTTGGCTGCCGCAGCCGCTGAGATTTCCCCTAGGGCTAGCCAGCGGGCGCGGGGTTAACCCTCCTCGTAGGGACCTGGCTCCACCTCCCGCACCCTTCCCCGCCCCCACGGCCACCGCCACCGCCACCGCCACGGCCACCGCCGCATTCACGCATCGGAAAACTCAGAAGCTCTTCTGGCTTTCGATGTTGAGGTCCCACGGTCAGCGGAGTCGCAATGTAGGGGAAGAGGGGATGGGAATTGGGCCACCGAGCTCGCGACGGAGCGTCTGGGACTTCGGGCTTCCCCTGCGGTGGGGAGAGCGGGGCTCCGGGAGGGAACGCTGGCCCCGCCCCTTGCACTGTGGTGCCTGTCTCCCTCCCCTGGGACTGAAACATAAAGGTGCCCCGTCCCTGCCATCCAGCGTTGTTATGGGCTGGCCAGGGGAGAAATGTGGCCTCTTGGTGTCTGGTGAGGAAGGCGGATGGGACTTGAGTCACGCAGCAAAGGGGATGTAGAGGAAACGGGGGTTGCTTGTGGCTTGGAAGTCTCCCCTCTACCCAGTAGGGTAGAGATTGGGCCAGAGGTCTGGAATCTCATCACTCTAGAGACAGGATTTGGGAGAAGCATGGCATCCTCCCTTGAATTTGAAAACTGACTGAATATGGATACATAAGGAGCCCCACTCTAAGGGGTGGACAGTTTAAGAGCAAGGTCTGGCCGAGATCTTGAGCTCAGATGTTGGAAGTGAAAGCTTAGGGAGTTGGGGAGAGAAGGGCAAGAGGGTTTGGGGTGGGAATGTTCAAAGAAAGGGCCTTTAGAGCAAGGTCTGGCCGAGATCTTGAGCTCAGATGTTGGAAGTGGGAGAGAAGGGCAAGAGGGTTTGGGGTGGGAATGTTCAAAGAAAGGGCCTTTCATCTTTCTGGAGACCCTGGGGAGTTGAGAGGCTTAAAGAACAGGAGGACTTAGGGTTCTTGCAGGAGAGTAGACCCATTCCATCTTCCTCCTTCTTTTCTCTGGGAGAGGGACATTATGAGAAACATGAATTGAGAGACGTGTGGGAAACTACTGAGATATACCTAGCCCACCCTAAAGCCCCTGGGGAAGTGGGGAACTACTCTCTTCTGCTTCCTCTACCTCTTCCTCCTCCTCCTCTCTCTCTCTCCCTCTTTCCTTCTCTCCCTCTTTCCCTCCCTCTCTCTCTCTCTCCCTCTGTCATCCTCTCTTCCTCTGGCTTTTTGGCCCTCTAGCAGCCTCACCCCTCTAAGGTCTTCACTCTAAGCTGGCTAATCCCATTGTTTCTTTGGTCTCTCTCCTTTTCCTCCTCTCTCCATCTTCTCACATCCTCTCTCTTTTCTTAAGGTGATGAGATTTTGAGCTGAAAGGAATCCATTAATAACACAGTGTAGTGCTTAATCCCTATGAAGATTCAGAGCCTGATTTTCAACGCCTTGCCTAGTGTCCTTGGACAAATTAGAGAACCTTGCTGACCCTCAATTTCTTCATCTATGAAAGGGAATAATTACATACTTTAAAAACTGGTGTGAGGGGGCAGGGGATGTAGCTCAATGGTAGAGCACTTGCCTAGCATGCATGAGGCCCTATGCTATACACACACACACACACACACACACACACACACACACACACACAATTGTGAGTTTCCAGTGAGAGAATGTACTGAGTGGGATATATCCTGTGAAGAAAATGCATAATAAATAGTAGATGTTATCAATCTACTGTTGTCTGTCACCTAGCTTGGTGATTTTTGCATTGTTGAGCATTGAGCCTAGGACCTCACAAATGCAGGCAGGCATTCTGAGCTATGTCTTCAACTCTTTCAAATTGCCTCATAGCACCTGAGAATTTTGAGAAGTTTCAAGGGACAGTGTTGGGGTCAGGAGGAGAGGAAGAAGTAGATCCAGTGGAGTTCCTGTTATTCATACTTGTCTTCAACAGAGTTGCTCCAGCTTTACACCCACACCCACTTTATGGTTTTGCTTTCCATGGTTTTAGTTACCTGCAGTGAACCACACTCTGAAAATATTGCATAGGAAATACCAGAAAAAGTAATTCATGAATTTAAAAAAAATTTTTTTTTGGTCTTTTTGAGACAGGGTCTCCCTGTAGCCCCAGCTGTCCTGGAACTCACTATGTAGACCAGGCTGGCCTTGAACTCACAGAGATCCACCTGCCTCTGCCTCCCAAGTGCTGGGATTAAAGGCATGTGCCACCACGCCTGGCAAAAATATTTTATTTTATATGTATGAGTGTATTGCCTACCTGTAAGTGCACCTATGTTATGTAATGCCTGTAGAGGTCAAAAGAGGGCATAGGATCCCCTGGGACTGGAGTTATGGACAGTTGTTAGCTGTCATGTGGGTGCTGGAAACTGAACCTGGGTCCTCTGCAAGAGCAGCCAGTGTTCTTAACCACTGAGCCATCTCTCCAGCCCCAATTCATGAATTTTAAACAACTTTTTATGATAATCTATTGTAATTTATTTTATTGTTAATCTCTTCCTGTGAAAAATTTATACATAGTTTCAGACACTATCCGTGATTTCAGGCATCTGCAAAATATTTTGGAGAACATCCTCTGTAGATTTTGGGATTACATAGATTAAAAACTATGAGCCAGATGTGGTGGTACAGGTCTATAGTCCTAGTACTCGGAGGTAGATGCTGGAGGATCAAGAGTCCAAGGCCTAAGCTACATAGGAAGTCCCTCTGATGAAGGTCAAGGCACTTGCCTAGCACATACAAGGCCCTGGTTTTCATCACAGCTCTACTAAAAATTAAAGTCCTTGCTGGGTGTGGTGGTGCACGCCTTTAATCCCAACACTTGGGAGGCAGAGATAGGCAGATCTCTGTGAATTCAAGGCCAGCCTGGTCTACACAGTGGGTTCCAGGACAGCTGGGGCTACAGGGAGACCCTGCTTCAAAAAGACCAAAAAAGAAAATTAAAGTTGTTTAGTGCTTTCTAGAGTTTAGAAAGAACAAAGGCACGGTGGCATATAGCTATAATCTTACTACTTGAAAGGTTGAGGTGAGGAGTTCAAGAGCAGCCTGGGCAATATAGCCAGACTATTTTTTTTAAGTTTAGAAAGTTCTCCATTCAGCCCTCATATTATACAGATGAGAAGATCAAGGTCCTCAGAGTAGAGTGTCCTTACTCCCAGAACCAAGCCAGGTCCAGAGCTGCAACAGAAATCATTGTCTTCTCTAAGCCTTCTCTTTCTCTACTGTCTTGTGTCTTCTTGTCACCCCACTTTTCTGGCTTCAGCTCAGCTCACCTATGTGTAGCACTGAAGATGTTGCCTTGTTTGTTTTGGGCATTGACCAAGGGAGCCTGTGGCTGGAGGTGCCCGGGCCGTAGGTATGGTCAAATGATAGAAGAAAAAGCCATTATGGAAGAGGTATTGTGATACCCTACTTCCCATCTTAATTTAGCTCTCAGACTCTAGCTCGAGCTAGAGAGAAACTGGAAAGAATTTGAAGCTCAGGAAAGGCTCAGTGTTCTGGCACAGTAAGACCAAAGGAAGTTCCTAGGAAGGCCATCTATAGCTGGGGCTGCCCCAAAAGTTTGACCAACTCTTCTTTCAAAAGAGTGGCCTTGGTCTTTCTCAGGCACCCTCCACATCCCAGATGATGTCTCTGTGGAGTCTGGTTTCGAAGATGTCCTCAGAAAAACTGAAACAGCTGTATGTTGACTTTCCCCAGCACCTGCGGCATCTCCTGGGTGACTGGCTGGAGAACCAGCCATGGTGAGTCCTATGGCTCTTGTCCTCCCTTAAGTATCTTCCCTCTTTTTCAGAACCCTTCCTGCTAGTGAAATTTAAAACTGAGGACTTGTTTATCCACATATAGTGGCCTAGACTTGGCAGGAGTCTGTGCCCCACCAAGACAGGCCATACATATTGACCTGTGGACACTCTGCCTCTTAAAAGGCTGGGCCACGGAGGAAGTCAGGGCTGAGGCAGAGGCACTTCCAATAGTTGGCAGACTGAGGAGCAGGGGGCATGGGTGGTGGCTGCAGAGGATCCAGCTGGAGAGTAAGGAGAGGGAAAAGAACCACGAAGTCTTGGCTATAGGGTGGAGGGTTGGGAGCACGAAGGAAGGCCTGGCTTGAGGCAGCTTCATCCTGATGTTCCCACAGGGAATTCCTGGTTGGCTCAGATACATTCTGCCACCACATGGCTAGTGTCCTCCTCTCAGCCACTGTCCAGCGCCTTCAGGCCTCTGCAGGAGAACAGGGGAAAGGAAGCACCGTCTTTCAGCACATCAGCACCTTGGAGGTGAGGCAGGAGGGGAAGAAACAAGATTGAGGTGTGGGCAAGGCAGAGCTGAAGGGAACACTGGATAGTGGAAGAAAATTGGTTGGATTGTAGAGGATACTGGAAGCAAAATGGTATTCCTGTGGTTAGCTGCTAGCCTGGGACTTGGAGAGGAAGGAGCATACAGGTAAGAGTGAAGCTAACTGCTGCTCACCTTCATTTCTATAGAGTGTATATCAGAGGGACCCCTTGAAGCTGGTGGCCATTCTCAGACAAATACTTCAAGGAGAGAAAAAGGCCATTTTGGAAGAGGTATTGTGATACTCCACTTCCTGTCCTGATTCAACTCCTTGGGACTCTAGCCCAAGCCATAAGAAACTAGGAAGACTCAGTGGTCTAGGGTCAGGATGAGCAAGGGAAGTTCCTGGTGTTAGAGTGAACCCCAAACCAAGTTCAGGGAGGCTTCAGACAGAACAACAGGTAAGGAGCTAGTTCTGTCAGGAGAAAGGTCTTAGGTCTTATTCCCAGAGAGCACCAAAAGGTTTGGAAGAACTGCCAAAGGGTAGAGGGGGACCAGAAAAGGGAAGTGTTTTATCTTTTACTGAGCAGAGTAGAGGCAGGTATGAAGGAATGGGCAGAGATCTCACTTGTTGGTATCTATCTGATCCTCCTGTGCAGTTCCGCCACCTGCCAGTGACCTTTCACTGGAAGCAGGAAGAACTCAAGTTTACCACAGCCCTTCGGAGATTGCAGCACCGAGTAGGGGAGATCCGTATTCACCGAGAAGGTCTGCAACAGGGAACAGAGGCTGGCCAAGGTGGGCTCTGGGGCCTGGACCCTTGAGAGGATTCTGGAGAGGGCATGAGAGTGATCCTTTCTTGGACCTCAGCCATAAGTGAACTTCCATTCTCTTTTGCATCCCTGATTTCTGCCCGTGCCCTCAGTGTCTCTGCGGAGCTTGATGGGAAGTCCTGCCAATGGGACTGATCCAAGAGAGGTAAGTGATGCACTGACAGATGGAGACTGAGCTCCAGTGCAGCTTGAAGGATGGAGGTGACAGAGAGATGGGGAGGTGAAGAAGAGCTGGGAAACAAGATAATATGTGGCCCTGGCTCAAGCCCCTCCCTGCTTTTAGACCCTGGCCACAATGCTGCAGGGGACTGTGGGGGACCTGGAGGCTGCCCAGGCCTTGGTGCTGAAGAGGATCCAGATTTGGAAACGGCAGCAGCAGCTGGCAGGGAATGGTGCACCCTTTGAGGAGAGCCTAGCAGCACTGCAGGAGAGGTTAGGATGGGGTGGTAGGGAAAACGGATATACTGGGGTGGGAAACTGTGCCTCTGTAGGATGACACACAGGTGTGTAAGAGAGGGAGCTGGGTGGGAGGGCTTTGGAGTGGGCCAAGACTCAGAGGAACCAGTTCCTGCAAGGCTGTGCACAGTCATGCACATCCTGCACAAGTTTCTCAGTTGAGGGGTTACAAGATAAGGGCCATCCACCTATGTTCTGTTCAAGTTCATGCCCAAAGGAATGAGGAGACTGTTTTTTCTTTTTGTTTTTTGTTTGGAACAGAACATGGTAGCCCAGACCATCCTAGAACTCACTATGTAGCCCAGGCTGACCTTAACCTCATTGTAATCCTTTTTCCTCAACCTTCCAAGTGCTGGAATCACAGACAGGAGCCACCACTCTTGGCTTGGGGAGACTTTTTTTCTATTTGGTCTGTTGGGTGATGGCACTTTCCAATTTTCTCTAAAGCACTCTCAGCACCTTAGCTAGAACCCTGGAAAGAGGCAGCTGGGTCTCCACAAGGAATCTAGACCCTGAAAATAAAGCATCCCATCCAGAGCCAAGGCAGATCCCAGAACCCACTTCAGTCCAGGTGCCTTTCAGCCACCTCTACTACCTATCCCATTTTTGCCAACACAATATCTTGCATTCTCCCTGAGTTTGGGAAGGGAGTCTGGGATGGAGAAAACAGCCTGAATTCTGTTTCTCTGACCACTATCTTGGCCCCAGGTGTGAAAGCCTGGTGGACATTTATTCCCAGCTGCAGCAGGAGGTAGGGGCAGCCAGTGGGGAGCTTGAGCCCAAGACCCGGGCATCACTGCTAAGTAGGCTGGATGAAGTCCTGCGAACCCTTGTGACCAGGTAAGCCCCACAAGCCTAGCCCGGCTTCGAGCAGACCCCAAGGAGAGAAGGGGTTAGAGTTGTGAAGCAGTCACTTGGCAGGGGCCCAGGCCCTAACTCCCCTATGTCCTCCTCACTCCTCCCAGCTCTTTCTTGGTGGAAAAGCAGCCCCCCCAGGTTCTGAAGACTCAGACTAAGTTCCAGGCTGGAGTTCGGTTCCTGCTGGGCTTGCGGTTCCTGGGGACCTCAGCCAAGCCTCCGCTGGTCAGGGCTGACATGGTGACAGAGAAGCAGGCTAGAGAATTAAGCTTGCCCCAGGGATCTGGGGCTGGAGCGTAAGTGGGACTGACCCTGGGGCCGGAGAAGGTGTGATGGGGTGATGGAGGCAAGGGGTGCTGGGAGGCCCGTACCACAAAGAGCATGGGCTTAGGAGAAGAGACCTCTGAAGTGTGGGGACAGTGAAGAGTCAAGGCAGAGGAAGGGGAGGGACCCATTCAGGGAGACTCATCAGGATTTGGCCAAGACAGACTTCTCCCTTAAAAACTCAAGAAGAGGCTGGGCATGGTGGTACATGCCCTTTAATCCCAGCTCTCAGGAAGCAGAGGCAGGCAGATCACTGTGAGTTTGAGGCCAGCCTGGTCTACTAGAAAGTTCCAGACCAGTCAGGGCTACATAGTGAGAACCTGTCTCTAAAAATCAAACCAAACCAAACCAAATAACAACAAAAAACCCAAACCAAGAAGTGGGTAGGGGCAATGAGATGGCTCAGTGGGTAAAGGTGCTTTCTATACAAGCTTGAAGACCTGGGTTTGATCCCTGGAACCCATGTAAAGGAGAGAACTGAGAACTGACTCCTAAAAGCTGTCCTCTTGCCTCCACACAAGTGCCCTCCATCATATACTACTACTAGTAGTAGTTTAAAAACAGAAACTAGGGCTGGAGAGATGGTTCGCCATTAAGAGCACTGCCTGCTCTTGCAGAAGACCCGGGTTCAATTCCCAGCACCCACATGGTGGTTACAAACCGTCCTTGACTCCAGTTCCAAGGGAATCCAAAGCCCTCTTCTGACCTCCGCAGAATTGCATGACACGGGTGCACTCACATACATGGAGGAAATACACTCATACACATAAAATGAAAATAATAAATAAAATATTTTTTTAAAAAAAACTCCAGAAACCAAACAGGGAGCTTGGGCTGTAGCTTAGTGATAGAGCATGTGCTTAGCATGTATATAGTGTATATGTATACACACACACACACACACATATATATGGAGAGAGCTGGAGAGAGAGAGAGAGAGAGAGAGAGAGAGAGAGAATGCTAGCTGTCAAGTAGGAACATGGAGAGCCAGGGCCAATGACAGCAGTGGTCAGCCCCATTCTCCATGGACTCAAGAACCTCACCATACCTGGCCCAACTGGATGAGGTTGTTCACACTCTTGACTCCCTTGGCAGAGAGAGCACAGGGGAGATCATGAACAACACAGTGCCTCTGGAAAACAGCATTCCCGGGAACTGCTGCTCTGCCTTGTTTAAGAACCTGGTGAGAGGTCACAGGGTACAGGAGGGAGGTTGGCATCCTCAGACTATCCAACTGCTCTCCCACCCTCACCCCCGCTCCCCTTTACCCTCCCTCTGGCAGCTCCTGAAGAAAATCAAGCGGTGTGAGAGGAAGGGCACCGAGTCTGTCACCGAAGAGAAGTGTGCTGTGCTTTTCTCCACCAGCTTCTTGCTCGGCCCCAACAAAACCCCCATCCAGCTCCAGGTGAGCACTAACCCCAGTCCTGCTGCACATTGGGACCATGGCCTGTGCCATGTCACACAGAGCCATGCAGGATACCACCTTCCTGTCTCATGCGTCTGGTATAACACACTGGGGCCAGGCAGAGCAGGGAGGAGCAAGATCAGAGGACACATCCAGGGAGTGATGTGTGTGGCAACTAACTTCCTTTTTCTTTTTTTTTTTTTTTGAAATGGTCGCATTATGTGGTCTAGGTTGGCTTCAAACTCTTTCAATTTTATTATCGTCTTTGTGTGTGTGTGTGTGTGTGTGTGTGTGTGTGTGCAGGCACGGGTATGCTGTGGTATACATACAGAGGTCAGAGGACAGCCCTTGGCAGTCTTCCTTTCACTTTTATGTGGGTTCCAGAGTTCTGGGGATGGAATCAGGTCACCAGGCTTGCTCAGTAAGCACTGTTACCCACTGAGCCATCTCACTAGCCATCAAACTCTTCCTCCCTCCCTCCCTCCCTCCCTCTCTTCCTTCCTTTTTCCCTCCCTCTCTTCCTTCCTTCCTTTTTCCCTCCCCCCCCCCCCCCCTCTCTTCCCTTCTTTCTTTTTCCTTCCCTCCCTCCCTCCCCCCTTTCTCTCTTAAGGTAGGCTCTCATTCTGTAGCCCAGGCTGACAAACTCAAGATTGTCTTGCCTCAGCTTCCTAAGAATTGGTACTATAGCCTGTACCACCATGCCCAGTACCTAACTCTTTATCAAGCACTCTTATAAGTGATACACACATACACTGCATACACACATGTGCACATACATCAAAAACTTTTTATAAAGGAGGGCACTGTTTTCAGTGACATACAAACACAGTTTGGTTTCTAGGATAACATTATATGATAAATGTTATTACTAGCCTTGTTTTATAGATAAGGTCATTGGGTCATAGATTCAGTAGTTTTTGCAGGTCACATAGGTACTACGCATTGGGACTGGTACTTGAGCCCTGGAAGTCTAGTTTCATAGCATTGATTTGTAATCACTGTTTTACACTGAAGCCCCTCACTAAGCTTCAGAAAATTTTTAGTGACATCCTACCAGCTTTAAACTATGTCATGTGAACCAGTAATTCCCTTACATATTCAGAGCCAGCTCTCTGAGGAAACTTCTGGCTCCACTAAGGAGAAACTGCTCTCCTTACTCCTTAGACCCTGTCTTTGCCCTTGGTAGTCATCGTCCACGGCAACCAAGACAACAATGCCAAAGCCACCATCCTATGGGATAATGCCTTCTCCGAGATGGTGAGGATAGAACCAGAGTGGGAGACGGGTAGAGTGGGTTTTAAGGGGCTGTCCTGGCTGGCGGGTGGGTGGCAGGCATGTGCAAATGCATGTAACTTTAAATCTTCCTTGCGGGTCTACTTTTATGCTTTTGATGTCTTTCCATGCTAGTCTTCATGGTATTATCATACCATGGCACCACAAACAACAACTGAGAAAGGGCTGTTTGTGAGCCAGCTCAAGGAACAATGCCAGGAGGAGCAGCTCAGGGATGTGGGCAGGATGAAGGCCACCAGAGCAAGACTAGCCATAATAATATTACCTGAGGTCCCTTCTCCCTCTCCCTCTTCTGCCCAGGACCGAGTGCCCTTTGTGGTGGCTGAGCGAGTGCCCTGGGAGAAAATGTGTGAAACTCTGAACCTCAAGTTCATGGCTGAGGTGGGGACCAACCGGGGACTACTACCAGAACACTTCCTCTTCCTGGCCCAGAAGATCTTCAATGACAACAGCCTCAGTATGGAGGCCTTCCAGCATCGTTCTGTGTCCTGGTCACAGTTCAACAAGGTCATTTTCCTGCACTTTGGATTTTGTACATGAAGTTCTTCCTCTTTGAGCACTCAAGACTACCCAGATTCTGCCCAGAGATAGGATCTTCACAATGCGTGTCCCCCCATCATATCCATCAAGAAGGCCTCTGTCATGGCCCAGGCAGAAAAACCCTTCCGTCTTGGAGGGTCACCCCAGAAGTTGAATTAGCTAGCATCACTCAAGCTTTGGTCTGGGGATCCTCCCTCTGTCTTTCCTCTTTAGCAGTGACTTGTATGATCCACCCAGATTATGTGCAAGTAGAGCTCTGATTCAGAAAAATGACTTTGACCCAATAGGAAAATAGTTCCTATTACAAAATCTGAGGGAAATCTCACAGGGCCACGTGCTGACTGCTTACTGCATAACAGGTATGGTTTCACACTCTGTTATCTCACATAATCCTTTTGACATCCCTTTCAGGCAGGTGCTCTTTGTATCCCCATTTTATAGATGACAAGCCCAAGCTTAGAGAGATTCCATAGTTCACCCAAGGATTCACGGCAAGTGAGGATGACACAACTAGGACGAAACCCTGGATTTCTTTAGTTTGAGACAGAATCTTGCCATGTAGCTCAGGTTGACCTCAAACTCACCATATAGTCCAGGCTGGCCTTGACCTCAATATCTTCCAGCTTCAGCCTCCTAAGTACAGGGATTACAGGAATGAGCCACCATGCCTAGCAGGAGCCCTGTATTTCTAACTTAATATTAGCTACTGTATTTTTCTGCCTCCAAAATGAGGTGGCTCTGGACTAAATCAGTCACAGGGGAGAAGGAGATTTTGTCTTTGCCCTTGGTAGTCAACATTGACAGCAACCAAGACAATACTAAAGTCACCTTCTGTGGGACAATGCCTTCCTCTGTCTCCCCTGTAGGCTGTGGGTCTTTCCTTATTGCTCTTTGAAACTAGCAAATTAAAAAAAAAAAAAAAGAGAGACATTCATGTGACAACAGGGGACATGTTGTGTTACTGGACAGGAACAGGGAACAGGACAGTCACAGCCAGCAATCATTTTCCTCTGGAATGTACCTCTACCAGGCCTTGTTGGGGACATCTTTTATTTAGCACAGTGGTTATGAGGGGCTTCCATGCCAGACTGCCTCGGTTTAAATCTGTGCTATGCTTCTCACGAGCAGTGTGGACCTGGGAAAGTCATTTACCTTTTGGACTTCCATTTCATCATCTGAACCATATGATTATTATAGTACTTCCATCAAGAAGGATCAAATGAATTAATATATGGAAACCTGAAGTAGTGCTCAGCATATGGTCATTGAGTTGGCAGTTGTCCAGTTTGGTCCTCAGCCCTTGACACTAACTCTTACAGCCCTGTGCTTACTGTAACCAAACTCTAGCTTGGACCATCCCCTACTCATTCATGCTCCTCCTTCATCCTTCAGGAGATCCTGCTGGGCCGTGGCTTCACTTTCTGGCAGTGGTTTGATGGTGTCCTGGACCTCACTAAACGCTGTCTCCGGAGCTACTGGTCAGACCGGTGAGTCTCTACCCCAGGAGGCCAAGCACCTGTATCTGTGACTCCCTTTCCACACCCAGTGCCCACACCCCTGTCTTCTCCTTCATCCTGACCAGGCTGATCATCGGCTTCATTAGCAAACAGTATGTCACAAGTCTTCTCCTCAGTGAGCCAGATGGAACCTTTCTCCTCCGATTTAGTGACTCCGAGATTGGGGGCATTACCATTGCTCATGTCATCCGGGGTCAGGATGGTGAGGTCACCACAGCCAGCCCTCTGCCTCTATGCCTATGCTCTCTTCTCTATGCCTATGCTCTCTTGGGTTTCTTTTTTTTTTTTAATTTTATTTGTTATTTTTATTTTATGTGTATGTGTATATTGCCTGCATGTAGGTAAGTGCACCCATGTCGTGCAATGCCTGCAGAGGTCAGAAGAGGCTGTTGGATCCCCTGAGACTGGAGTTGTTAGCTGCCATGTGGGTGCTGGGATTCGGAGGTCAGAAGAGGCTGTCGGATCCCCTTCTGCGGAGGTCAGAAGAGGCTGTCAGATCCCCTGAGACAGTTGTTAGCTGCCATGTGGGTGCTGGGATTCGAACCCAGGTCTTCTGCAAGAACAACCAGTGTTCTTAACAGCTGAGCCATCTCTCCAGCCCCTCTCTTGGGTTTCTTATGAGAAAGAAATATCCTGGCCATCCTTGATGCCCACCTGATATTCAGGAAGTTCTTCACTAGGTCCAGTTCTCTTCCTCCTCCTATGGTCTAAACTTCCATTTCCCAAGGCAGAGGAGACTCCTACAGGATCTCCACCCTAGGCCTGATCTTGCTTGCCATGGCGGATTGAGACTAGGTCTTGTGGTAGGGCTGGGGAAGGAGAATTCTGGACAGAGTAGACCTAGGATCTCATTCCTCTTGTAGGCTCCCCACAGATAGAGAACATCCAGCCATTTTCTGCCAAAGACCTGTCCATTCGATCACTGGGGGACCGAATCCGGGATCTTGCTCAGCTGAAAAACCTTTACCCCAAGAAACCCAAGGATGAAGCTTTCCGGAGCCACTACAAGCGTGAGCTGGCAGCTCTGATTCCTTCCTGTCACTCACCTCCTCCCTGCTCCCGGCTGCACCCCTCTTTTTGCCTACTGTGTGTCATCCCTGGCTTCTCTCCCATTTTATAGCTCCACTTCTACCTGCCCATCTCCCTTCCTCCTTCCCACCTCCCTGGAGCACTCCATAGCTCTCCTTTCCTTCCCACCACAGCTGAACAGATGGGGAAAGATGGGAGGGGCTATGTCCCCGCTATCATCAAGATGACTGTGGAAAGGTGAGTGTGGTCATGTGTATTGTGGGTGGAGGCTGGTACTTATCTGTGGGAAAGAGTGGCCTTTGTTAATCACATGTGCCTCTCTTTCTCCTTCAGGGACCAGCCCCTTCCCACTCCAGAGCCCCAGATGCCTACCATGGTGCCCCCTTATGATCTTGGAATGACCCCTGATGCGTCCATGCAGCTCAGCTCAGATATGGTGTAAGGAGCTTGTACCAGTTTGTGTACCCAGGCCTTCAGCATTCCTAGCTGGAAGAGCTGGCCTTGCAGGTTGAAGCAGGGGGTTTTCCTTACTGTGAAAGAGATTCCTTCTCCAAGGCAGGGCGTGGGGATACCTGGAAAAGGACTAGCGTCAGAGGGTCTGTTTTCTTTCCCCAGGTACCCTCCACAGTCTCACTCTATCCCCTCATTTCAAGACCACCCCTTTGAAGAGTCAATCCATGTACCGCCAGCCTTTCAGGAGTAAGTAGGATGTGAAGGATGCCTATGGAGGATGGGGAGGGACAGCATCCTATGGAGGATGGGGAGGGACAGCATCCTATGGAGGATGGGGAGGGACAGCATCCTATGGAGGATGGGGAGGGACAGCATCCTATGCTTCCTATGGAGTATGGGGAGGGACAGCATCCTATGGAGGATGGGGAGGGACAGCATCCTATTGTAAGCAGTAGGTGTTCATGGGGCGGGGGGGGGTCGCATTTGCCAGGGGGGCTTCTATGGGAAGGGTAGCATAGGCTGACTTCTGTCTTCTGTCCACTTAGGGAACGATTTGTAAAATTCAGATTGCCAGGGTTTGAATTCCAGCATTATCACCTGCTAACTTTGGGCAGGTATCTTAACCTCCAGTGCCTCACCTGTATGGGGGATAATAATCCTTGTAGTTATTGTGAAGACTAAATGAGTTTGTAGTGTGTGTAGAGCTGAGTAGAGTACCTGACCCACAGCAAGTGTTGCTACCATTTTCTCTCTTGCCTGTGAAATCCATTGCCACTTATCTGTTGTATATTTGTTTGTTCATTGTTGTGCTGGGGTTTAAACCCAGGGCTAAGGAATAAACATGTTGTGTGTGCTCTACCACTTAGCTACATCCCAGCTGCTGTGATGATTTTTAATCATCTGTTTTATCTTTGAAGTTGCTAGACCTCTTTCTTCCCCAAGTCACACTCAGGTGCTCATCAGCTCTTAATATGTGTCATGTGTCCTGCCTGAGTTGATGTGGGGGTAGGGCTGATGTGAGAGCCACTTAAGTTCAGTCTCAGGAAACATTGGAAATTGGACACCGCCCCCCAATTTTATAGGGGAGAAATCAGAGTTCAGAGTGCAGAATGGCTTGCCCAGGGCAATGCAAGTCAGTGAGAAGCAAAGTCAGGATAAGGCCTGGCAACTTGTTTCCTCTCATTGGTCTTGACCTTGCAATTCCCTGCCTCTGCCTGCCTTTCTTTCCTGTTTTCTCCTTCCTGCTTCCAGGCCTCACCTGCGAATGCTCCCCAGTCTGAGTCCACTGAACCTGCCCTTTGAGCAGTCTCAGCCCCAGTAAGTGACAAAGCCCCTCTTGGTCCCATGTTCTCCATTCTTTCCTCGCATCCCCCTATTCCTCCTCATTTCCTCCTCTGGTCACTGGCAGGGGCCTGCTGCAGTGTCGGCCTCAGGAGCATGCTGTGTCCAGCCCTGAACCCTTGCTCTGTTCAGATGTGACCATGGTAGAAGACAGCTGCCTAACTCAGCAGGTGGCAGGTTTCCCCCAGGGCGCCTGGTGAGTGGAATCCTGGGAGTGAGGGCTGTGTGTGTGTGTGTGTGTGTGTGTGTGTGTGCTGTGACTACTCCACTACTTCTCCTTTCTCCTTGCAGGCTCAATGAAGACATGTTGCCTCCCCTGCTGCCTCCCACTGAACAGGATCTCAACAAGCTTCTCCTGGAGGGCCAAGGGGAAACAGGAGGGTCCTTGGGTGCCCAGCCCCTCCTGCAGCCATCTCCCTATGGGCAATCTGGGATCTCAATGTCCCATCTGGACCTAAGGGCCAATCCCAGTTGGTGATTCCCAGCTGGCAAAGCCCAGAGACAGAGCCTCTACTGTTTCCACGAACCTGCTCTGGTCATCTGCTCTTGCAGGTGCCTCCCATCTCCAGCTATTCCTTGGTCAGGAGGAAGAATATGCTGGGAGAATGCATGGTGTGGAAAACCACCACACTCTTTCCTACCACACCAGTACACCAGTGTCCTCTCTTCCAGCACTTGGTGGGGGGGGTAGTGTTCAGGCCCCTGCATGCCTGTATCACAGAACCCACAAGAATGAGGATGACCAGGACAGGTTGGGCAGAAAGGGGGTTAGGTGAGCACAGTTTAGGGCACCAAAGGCTTATGTGCTCACTGAGCCAGAGCCTAAGATACAGAAACAGACACATGTACATGGTGGCACTAGAGGCCAGGGGCAGGGCACAGGCCTAAAGCATAAGAAAGGACTTCAGGGGACACTAGGTGGGAGAAGAGGAAAGGTCTAGGCATGTTGACTGCTGGTATGGATTTTGCCAATTAAAAAACAAGTGCCCCCCCCCAAAAGCTCCAAATTCTTGCCAAACAGGCTTTGTTACAGTTCAGACTACAAGAGCCAAGCTTCTTCGTGTATAGCTGTGCCAAGACGTTTGAGGCATGTTAACCTATAGATGTCACCCATTCACTATATAGCCACATAGAAAATATATTTCTGCTTTTGCCTGTGCAAGAACACGTATTTGAGAGGCTCAGACACTGAACAAGACACCACAGTGTGTGATGGCCTCATCTAGGCCAGCACAAATGCCATTTGGGATATAACTATGTGGCTCTGACATGTACATATGGCTATAGCCTTGGTGGCTCAGTGGCCCGAATGCTTCCCAGAGCCAGGGCCTGTATGAACCTCCTGGGTTGTAGCCCCCCCCCCAACTGCATCTCATGTATTTTTCCATCCACTGCCGGCTACTCTCCACTCTCACACCTCATGCAACCCCTCTCACATTGGGGTTGGGGGGTGTCATGGATCCTAAGCCATAAAATAAATTTTATTCCAAAATAACAAAATAAATAATCTACTGTACACAATCTGAAAAGAAAGACGCTCTAAGTGCTTGGCAGGCGCTGCAGTCCTGCTGACCTGGGGTGAGAACTAAGGTCCAACCCAGGCCTCCCAAGGGCTGGTGGAGACAGGGGCACCTCCCCCAGAGTACAGGAGGGAAAGAACTGGGAGAGGGGGGATGATGAGGAAGGAGGGCAAACTGCAGCACTTGTTAAATTAAAGAAACAAACTAGAAGCACAAAATGGGGGTGGGGAGAAGAGAGGTCCAGTGTTCAGGCCCCCAGAAGGGGAAAACGTTGCCATTTTAAGCTGCTGGACCTTTCCAGGGAAGTTGTTTCCCCATGTCCAAGCTGAGTCCTGCTGCTCACACCACTGGTGATGACCTGGACAATGGGAGTGTGTGGTATGAGGGATGGGAAAAGCCCCAGTGGGCTGGAAGCAAAGTCCATGCCCCTGAGCTGGGTGAGGGTGGACCTTTCACCCTTGTGTCCTCTGGCCAGGCCCCTCCTTGTTATTGCTTGAAGCCCCATAGTCCTGTGCCCATGGAGCAGATGGGGAGGAAGGATAAGAGCAGCAGAAGGATCCTTCTAGGGTGGTGACTAGATTCCGAGGATTCAGTGTGAAGGAGTCTCGGTGAGCCAGAAGGCTGGGTCCTGGGTCTGAGGACACCAGTCCACTCTCTCACTGCCGACTGGCCTCGGCCTCCACTTTCACGCTGCTTCTGCGACCCTCCACCAGAGCGGGATGGGGTCCTGGGGCGGGGCACCGGTCCAGTAACCCTTCCTCAAACTCTGCAGGAAAAAGGCATAGGTTAGGAAACTGAGTGGAGGCTGAGAAGAGGAGTGGTATTCAAATAAAAGGCTGGGGAAAGATGCAAAGACAGCTCAATATATTGAATTACTGTCTCCTGCCCACTTCGTGTGTATGGGGGGGTCAATACCAAAGTGTGTACAGCCCCCCTCCCCTTCTGGCTGTGAGTAGTTCTGTCTCTGTATTTCTCTGTCTTGCCCGCCTCTGCTCTGCTGGAATTTCTGGTTCTGTCAGGAGCTGCGGGGGCGGCTTGGCTATGACCTCTCCCCCTCCCCCCTCCCCAGGCTCAGCCACCCCCACTCAGCTCTACCCCCCCTCAGCTCTGCCCCCCCCCCCACTTCCAGGCCCTAACGCCCGTACAGGTGCCCCTCAGTTTTTGGTAGCCAAATCAGGGGGAACACAGGAAGCTAGACTCCCAGCTCCTCCCTCTAGAAAAGCCCCCCCTTCCAGTCCCCGCCCCCACCTCCCACCCACGCACAGTTTAAAAATACCAAGCCAGGGTTGGTGGCTTTGTCTGCTGCGTCACTCTCAGCCCAGCGGCTGCCCGGCCCTCTACCGGCCCACTCCTTCCCTATCCACACACAAAGCGCCTAGCTTTGGGCTCCTCCGTTTCCAAGCTGGGGAACCCTATTCCTCACAACTCCGTGACTCCTCCCCACCTGCCTTAGGAAGTTCCAGCCAGGCTTCCCATACTGCTCTCCCTCTTCCCAAGATTCCCCACCAGGGTCAAACCCTCCCCAGTGGAAATAACCTAAAAGTGACCTGCCTCTTCTCTACTCAAAGTTTGGCTCATTGGAGCCCCTTCTACTGCCCTCTCTGGCAATTGTATCCCTCTTCCCGCTTGGTCCAGAAAATGAGGATCGAAGTATCAGACTGAACAACTAGGGTGTTCCCGGACAGCACTGCTGGCTGCCTCACCTGCGAGAGGCGGCTTCGCAGGCATACAGGGGCTGAGGCGGCCCACGCGGTCGTGGGAGACGAGGCGGGCGAGCCGCAGCCCCTCATCCATCAGTGTCTGCTGCAGGATGTGGCGGCTCCATAGCCCATGCGCTGGCAATGCCAGGGGCAGGTCAGCAGGGGGCGGCGTCAGCCTTGGGCACGACCCCACAGCTGTGGGCATGGGCACTGGTCAGGTCAGGGGGCTGCAGCCAAGGGAACCCCACCCTCAACCACACAGTCAGACCCAGAGGCCTTTCTGTTCCCATCCAGCCAGGCCTCCCAACCATGTTCCAGGCAGTTGACTCCTGGCTCTCTCCTGCAACCCACCCATCCACTTTCCACCTCCTCCCAAGGCAGAAAAAAAGCTCTCTAATGCACACTCACCCTGCAAGTGTCCATCTAGGCTCTCCCCAGACAGGCTGGCGCTGTCCTCCTCTAGGCTAGGGCGGTATGGGGGTGCATAGGACTCAGGGCCTGGAGGAGGCTGCTGGATTTCAGGATGACTCTGTTCTCCAACCTGTAGAGGCCCCAAATTAGGAAATGAGGACCTAGCGAGGCTGGGAGAGGCTGCTCCCCTCCACTATGGGAAAACATACCTCCTGTTTCAGTTTCTTTAGTGGTGGGCCTCCTAATTCTTCAGAGTGCAGCCTAAAGATGAATAAAAGATAGGTGACGTTCAGAAGGGTCCCAGAATGGGCTGGACACAGAATCTAAGAACATTCTTTACTTAAAAGGAGTCTCCATTATTATCATTATCGTGGGGGGGGGTTGGGGAGGGCCTGAGAGATGGGAGGAAAGACCAGGCCTCATACAAGTTGACTTGGCAAAAGGAAAAACAAGCAGATGGGTGGGAAGCTGCCTGAGGTGGAAGTGAGGAGAGGATCCAACTTCTTGGCAGGACTCCAACTTAGGAAGGACCCTGAGAAAGGGGGTCTCACCTGGAGCCCTTCAAAGATGACAGATACGTGCTCTCCCTGGCTACTTGGCGTGACAGCGAGAACAGCTCTACCCTCCGAAGTAAGAGCGTGTTGTCCCTTATGCAGAACTGGGCAGCAGCCTCGTTGATGGTCAGCTGTGGTGATAGGATAATCAGAATTCTGACTCCCTACAGCCTCACCCCTTCACTATCAAGGGTTGCCCATCCTAAAGATGCTTGCTTTGAGTAATACACAGGTACTTTCTGAGGGAAGAAAATAAAGGTCAACATTCAGCTTCCTAGGAATGCCCAGGGCCACCTCCATTTCTGTGGGTACCTGAACAGCATAGGGCTGCACAGCTGGACACTCTCCTGTACCTCTGCTTCCCCCCCAGTTGAGGATGGAGGCACAGCAGCAGCTGGGACTGGGTGGAGGGGTGGGGATGTCAGCAACTAGGGTGGTTAGGGGGCAATGAGATAGTTGGAGAATGCAGGAATTCTGAGACAAGGGCAGTCCGGAGAGGACCTGTGTCCTCACCTCATGCAAGCTGAGCTGCTTGCCCTCCCTCCGTTTGGAGTCAAAGCGGCCATAGATGATGCTATACTTTCGAATCTCTTCTTCTTTCTGGCTGTCATTATCATCCATCTCAAAGATGTGCCCCACACTCCGTGCTAGCTTCTTATTCAGCTTTAGCAGGGATGTGACCTCTCCAGCATCACCCCTGGGGAAACTCCGGAAGATCCTCTCCACGCTTTCCACCACCATGCGTACCATCTCTGGCTCCAGGCGGTCTGGACCACCCCCAAGCCCACCTGCTGTCATCCCCCCAGGGCCAGTCCCCTCAGGGACTCCGCCCCCTGCAGGTGGGGAGAAAGGGGGCGACCCAGCCTCCTCTTCTCCTCCTGCCCCAACGTCTGACTCTGGAGTGCTCTGGCCTGGCCAGATCCGGGGATCTCCTGCCCCAGGTCCCCCAGGCAGTGGCGATAGCTTCTCTCCAAGTTCAAGGGGGCTCTTGGGGCTAAAACTGCGGGCACTGCCTGCCTTTTCTCCTGGGCTGCCATGCCCATTGCTCATGCTCCCTTTCCGAGTACCCGCAGTCTCAGAGATCTTGAAAAGTGGAATGCTGGAGACAGGGACAGCAGGCACCGGTTGGCTGAAGAGCCCTGGATTGGTGGCCCATTCTCTCAGAGCCTTCTGTAGACGTCGGACATGGAGGGGCTTGGTAGCCATGCCCACTAGTGCCATGATTTCCAGGAATTCCTCCTCACCCGCCTCACACAGCTGCTGAACGTCGTCCCCTCCCTGCTGGATGAAGGTCTCATAGTAGGAAAGGAGGTTAGCTCGCTGCAGGACCCGATACAGCTGCAGCTCACCCAGTGTCCGAGGCAGTGCCATGGCTGTGGCACTAGCCCTAGGAAGGAAGGGCACAAGAGAGAGGCAGTAAGTACACGGCCCCTGCTAACAATTGTCCTCTTTCCTGCCTCCTCCTCCTCATCCCTTCCCTCTTTTGAATGCTCTCTGCATAGAGCTCATGGCTGGCACATTGAGAGGTGAGCACTGCTCAGAGACATAGCCATACCAGTGCCATCCCAGACTAGCCAGAATCATCAAAAGCCAGTGTGCCTTCCAGAGATATCAAATCTCTGGCTTTAATTTTCTGGTTTGGGGCAGCACTGGCTGTTTTGTTTGCCCAAAACAGTCCTCACGTCCCACACTAAACACTCAACAACTTCAACACTACTTAATGTAACTGCCCACACTAAAGTGAATGCAAGCTACTAGGGCCATTGCTGGCCGCTTTACTCCTTGCCCAGGTACTGAGAGGGAGGGGTGTGGCCACTTCCTCAGCTTTCCACTCTGTGAACCCGGGACCCTTCCTCCTTTGCCCTCAAGCTTTCCCAAGGATTAAGTAAGGTTAATGCACCTTTGCTTTCTTTCCCTAGAATCTCTTCTAACTTTCCGGGCTGTCCAGTGCCTCTCAGTTGCCCCCTCCCTTGGTGTGGCCTTTCCCACTATATCTCAGTAGGCCAGTTCCTCCAGCTCAAGCGATGGGGGGAGGGGAGGGGCGTCTCAATTGTTCTGCTCTGGGGCCGTTCTTCCCACACACTCCCACAGTGGCAGCATCTGTGGGCGAAAACCGCCTGGGGGCTCCCGCCTACGATTCTCTCCTTTATTTTCCACCCAGATCTTCCAAGGGAGTGGGGGAAGCAGCTCAAGGCCTCTTGAGGGAGGGGCTGCACACCGAAACTCCCCTCCCCACGCACTGAATGAAGGGTCAGATATGACAAGGGACGTCCCTGGTATTTCCCCTGCCTCTCTCAGCCTCTCGGATGCTCCCTTAACTCAAAGGAACCAGCTTCTTCAAGACGCGGGGACCATACACTGCCTGACAACGACAGCCAGAATCGTGGTCAACACCCTCACCCCCTGCACTGTTGTCAGTTCGACCTCCGGGGCTTCCCCTGGCGCATGGGGACTCCTGCATTCTTTGCAGGGGGCTCACATGCCAGGTCATGCCCACCGAGTAAATCTGGAATGGAGATGAGGTAGTACTCTTTCGTATCCAGCTTCATCAGGTCTTTGTTTGCTCCCCTAATTCAAAGACTCACCCCCTTTTCCATCAGTCTCCTCCTCCCATCCCCTTACGGCTCCCTCATGTCCTCTTTTCGACCTCCACCCTCCGGACCCCATTCTGGAGTCCAGTTCCACCCATCTCCACTCCCCGCCACCTCCTTTTGCCCACTAACTTGAGTCTGGACTGCGGGGTCCGGCGGGTGTTGTCCCCTCCGCCAGGCGGCTGATCTACTGTGGGAGAGGGCGCTCTGTGCATGGACGGTCGGAGTCCACCCGGGCCACCCCTTCTCAGTGTCCGGCGTCTGTTGCGCGTTGGGCTTTGCCTGGCGCGCACGGCCGGGTCCACCACTGCCCAGGCTCCGTCCCTCCCTCCACGTCTTCTCTCTCCGAGCCTCCGCGCTTCTGTCTGTGCCTCTGCCCCCACCTCCCCGGCTGCGCTTGCCGCCTCTCCGCGCCTCCTCCCCCGCAGGACGCACGGGGAGCGAGGCCGGGCGCTGCGCTGGCTGCCGGGCTGGCGGGAGGAGGGCGTGGGCAGAACCGGGGGCTGGGACCGGAGGCG